ACAAAAAAGTGTAAATTTTATTACATTAAATATCACATGCGAAATTAATCATATTATTAGCTTATTAATCGATGATTGGTTCGAACATTGAAAGTCAATTAGATGCATCCTTTATGATGACAAGATTGGGGAAAGAATACAATACTCACTATTTGCTTCAGAGAAATTGATTGTATTTTCTCATAACACCAAGGGTGCATCTTCTTTTTACTGTATGTCTATGACCAACGATAGTAATAGATCAAGTGATACATAAAAGAACTTGAAAGGTAATCTATAGGCAATCGTTGAGAAAGAATGACCTCAATTCACCCAATAGCCCTTGTTTGGCGATTAGTTATTAGTTTTTAGGGGGTAGTTGTTAATTATGGAGTAATTATACATGCTATAAAATACTAGTTGGTTGTATTTGCAAGTTAGATCAACCAATAATATTTAACGTAGTTTGTGTATAAAATATTTGATAGATAATTGTCAATTAATACATATAAAATATTTATTACGAAGTATATACCTTCAATGACCAATATATAAGAATATACGCTGTATATATTAACTTAACTCATCAAACAAATTGAGAGCTAATTGTACATGGTTTTATTACTTGTATATTTTCCTCAATTATTTACAAGCATCTTTTTACCAAAAATCCGAAAATCCACCACTCTTTATTGACCTTACCAAAAATAAAAAAGATTCATCAGATGAATCAGGTTCATGAACAATAAGACTATGAATGTAGGAAACAAAAATTATATTTTAAAAAAAGTTACAGTCCTCTAGCCTATATGTTGACAAATGTATAGATTGCAAAAACAGATTTCATTTGAAGCATTAAGTGACTAGTCTTTGGAGACTTGATACTGTTTACTTATTCCTCAGTACACACAAATTACAGATCATAAGTTGTTGTAGTATACTTGCTTCTATAGTTCTATATAAGTTTATTAGTTGTCTCCTCTAACGTTCCCCAATTGCAAGCTGGGATTATTATTATTATTATTATTATTATTTTTATTTTCTTCAAACACAATTTATTAAAAGCTCTTGTGACTTTATTTTTTTAACAATATGTTGCGCCGACACTTGTAAACAATTTGGTCAACAACAATACATGCAAAGAAAATGATTAATTAAGTTGTAATTAAGGAGAAAATATTACTCCATATCACCGAGTTGTTATTCTCTTTATTTAAAATCAATAATCACGTTAATAATGTAATTTAGGCAGTAAGTTCGTGAGTTGTTGAATATTTTATTTGATAACGTAATTAAGGTAAAACAAGGAAGGAAGGAAGAAGGAAAAAATAAAATAAGGAAGCAGTGGTGGTTGGTTCATATTGTCGTTGGCCCGCCAACTAATACCGATTTTATCAAAGCTGGCAAAATCCTGCACCGTATAACCCGTATTATACTACGGACACGGAGTACTAGTAGTGTACTACCATTTCTTTTTCCTTTTTTCTAGGGCGACTGAGCATATATTTCTCTAGGTACGTAGTATCTTAATATCTTTATACTAATGAGAATATTATGGATATAATCTTATGTCTAAATATATGATTACTATGAAATCTATTGATTATTTCTAATATTTGTCATTTGTTGAAGACAGTGGAGATCGAGGTTATAATGGCCAGGTGAAATTGCACTTATGAGATTATGGTTTATTAGCGGTGAATTTTGTTATCGTGGTATTGTGGATTGATGTCAATTAATTTTATTTGTATAAATTTTGAACATGTTACTTATATTTTGAGATCAAATTTTATGAGGTGTGAAAGCTGTGAAAATAAATAATTAAGTATGAGCGTTTGATAAACTAGTGGTTGACTAATTATTAGTAGTGAAATTCTAAAAAGAAAAATTCCAAAAGCTAATAATATTAACTTTTCACAAAAACTACTCCAATCACTAAACTCTACTCCCACCACTACATTGCCAACCACTAATATTTTTTTATTAAGTAATGGTTTGAATAAGTCAAACGACCACTAAAAGCTACTCAAAAGATAGTGCCGAATGCGCCCTAATACTTTGTACAAGCCGATATTTATGCTTATTCAGCTTTTATAAATCGATTAGCTTAAGACATAAATAAAACAAAGTACATTACATTTTTTTTTTAAGAAACTCTCTTTTACATAATGAAATGATTATTGCACGTACTTGCAAGTGTTTTTCCCATAAGACTATTTTCACATAACATAAGACCATTTTCCACGTTGAAAATGATGTTAGCATCAATTTTTAAAGAGGAAAATTCATTTTGATTATTATTAGGACCTTTATAAACAATACATGAAAAGTTAAAATAAGTTTAATTACTCTAAAACAAAGTAATAATCGACAAAAACATTATAACTTCAATAATACAAAGCACTATACCAAACAAATATTGGTAGCAACATACTTTTATTGTTTTCTAAATTATAAAATTTTAACAAGATTTATAGATTCGTATGGTAGTGACTGGAGACAGCTTGGCATAATAATGACGTCCAAGTTGTATGATGATATTAACATCATCAAATGAATACCTAACAAGTGTTGCCTGGCATAGTGCCTTGTCAACCTCATTCAAACAACCTTCGCAATGCTTGGAACTTGATTATGGAGCTACCGTAACCGTTTTGATGTATTCTTATTACTTATTGAATGTAATCTTATTGAACAGTTTGAATTTTATTTTTCAATTCAACAAACGGTTTTGTATAATACTATTATATATCTATTGTTATTACACTTCTATTATCATTAATTACAACCAAATGAAATCTGACTCACTTAGTAAGACTTTATACTTCAATTCGATCATCACGCGGTCTAGGGTTCAAATATTGTCCACTGAGGGTGTTTGGGGGTGAGGATTTCCTAACTCTTTTTTCCCTACTTTCAAGTGTCTATATATCTTGTAAATATTACACCGAAAAAAGTTATGAAGTTTAAAATCTAGTTAGGAGTTCCCCTTACTTCTCCGGCCCAACTATCAAAATGTTTATCCTGCTAACTAACCCAAACAGGATTGTGTGAGAAATTTCGACTAAAACACGATGAATCAATGTAGATAAGTCGAGATTTGATAAAAAGTTCTAAATTTCTCCGGCCTCCAAAGATTTAGTAACCTCTGTCGGTAATGACAAAATCAATTTACTGATAGCAACATTCTAACGGGCATGTGCAAAAAGCATACTATTAAGAGAACAACAATAAAGGAACATTTCCTTTCACCAAATTATTAATGTCTTAAATTTTCAACTCAAAGTGCATGATTGACCCCTTTGTGGCTGCGCTTCATAATAATTAGTCACTCAAAACACATGAAAAACCTTCTAGTCAAATTTGACATCCACCATACCACCTCACGTTTTATTGCATATTTGCACGCCCTTTAATTAGTAAATACGGAGTATGAGGGGATATATTTTTCCTTTACACGATCTTACAATTTTCATTACCCTCATTGTATGTATGCCATAAGCTTACACGTCATTATCTTTATTGTTCAGTGTAATTAAGTGTGAGCATTGTTCATTATTATCACTGCATGCATGCCTATATTAGTGGTCATTATCTTTGTTAAATATGAGTGTGAGTATTGTCCGTCCTACATTGAAAAGTAATCCAAAGAGCTTGACTTTAGTTTATAATCTAAGCAAGTTACTCCTATTACCAATTGATTTTAAGAAGGAACCTCACTTTAGACTTTTATAGTGGGCTTTTGCGCTTCTCTCTCCTGTCACTTTAGCTTTTTGGGTATTATTGGTATAACTCCGATTGAAAGTGTGTGTATACAACCAAAAAATATTTTATATGATTGATGTTTATTAATTTGTTAAGACTTAAGAGTGTACAGTGCCACAGTAATAAATTAAATATATGTGATCACAGTGAACAAACGCAATGCATGCTTACCTATATATGTTTGTTACTTTAATTAGCAGCCACCTATATTGTTTTCTTTTGGAGATATGATTTTCGTCTTTAGAAAGCACTATTGATGGTATTCAGATAGAGAGAGTCAGCAAGCATGATATAATAATATAATATTAATATAATTAGGTCCTATATTCCCTTCAACTCCTTTGGTGGGAAAATGATCCATCACCGATTAGTTGGAACGAACTTGGAATGGAAATCAGCAACTTTTATTTATTTTGGATATTTCTCACCTTACATTTAAATTATACACCTCTTTTATTACCATAACAGGATCTTCGTTGAGGCTCATAAGGACCAAACTCCTACTTCGTATAATTTTATTTGAAGTATATATATATAGAGATTTTACTGCTTAACAAATAGACATAATAAGTTGATTAATAATGGTTAACTTATAAGTAGAATTATATGAAGATTTTAACCTAATTACCTAAAGGTTGTATCTTGTCTAAAACATGTTTTGTTCTAAATCATCTTGGTTATTTACTTATTTCACCATTTGTGGTAACTTTATTTGGTACAGTACATGAAATCTTTATAGTAGGAGTATGTCAGCCCAATGCTTAGTTGGTAGGCCGCAGGCCTGTGTGTTATTTTATGCGGGCCTTCAGCCCTTCACCTATTAAAATAAGAGTTAGAGTTTAAAATAAAAGTTTGGGCTTTATTGTACATTTAAATCTTTGATGTTGGACCATTTGGTAATACGGAGTACTACATTATTGAAATATGACTATCTGGGACTCGATAATTTTCCAGTCACAATGACCTCCTAAAGGAACTAAGAAAGTATAACTGTATGAGACTCATAGGAAGCTCGACTGCTCGAGCCATTACAACAGAAATAACGCCATACATACGAAAATACGATAGGTAATATAGCCGGATGAATAGAAATTAGAAGAGCAATAATCAAGTGATCTCCAAGGTCAACCATATGGTTAAAGTATTGGCACATATTATCTACTCGTATATGATTCATAAACATATAGGATGACATTTTTGTCAATAATGGAAACATGAGAAAAAGTATTAGTGGAAAATGCGCCAGGCGGAAGGAATAGGTGACAGGTGGAAGGTAATTTGAGGAAAAAATATTCAACAACATAGTAAAATATCAAATGACAAGAAGTACCACTACATGTTGAATAGTATGAGTACTTTTGTAGTATTATTAAAACAACTTATACTTTGATGATACATTATACATGTATAATAGTACAAAAAAATGTACCATTAAAAGAGAGAAACGTCAAATGAAAAAAAAAAACCCAAATTCCCCTCCCATGTGCATGCGAAATACACAGCTGCCTAGATGCACTCGCTTCTTTACCCCTCTCATAGTGTGGCTTTGTTACTACTCCAATACTCCATAGTACTTACAGCCTGATTACAACATATTTCACCGCAAATATAGGCTTCCAACCTAAGCTTGTCGGATCTCCCCTTCCTTATATTCACTCTCAAGTCTCAATGGTGAATTTTATCCAAACCCTTCTCCTACTTCTCTCTATTTCTCTTTCTCTCTCCTTTGACCTTGAATTGACTTACATGGCAAATGACGGTCAAGATTTCCCAATCGAAGAAGCTACAATCACAGCCATCCATCAAGCCTTCTCCCAAAACAAACTAACATGTAGACAGCTCGTTGACTATTACCTTAATCGCATCGAAACATTAAACCCTATCCTACGCGCAGTTGTTGAGATTAACCCGGACGCGCAGGCTCTCGCCGACGTTGCCGACCAGGAAAGAGAAAATGGGCATCAGTTGGGCGCGTTGCACGGTATACCGGTGTTAGTGAAGGATACAATTGGGACAAAGGATAAAATGGGGACCACAGCCGGGTCGTACGCGCTGGTAGGGTCAGTGGTGGCGCGTGAGTCGACGGCTGTAGAAAGATTGAGGAAAGGTGGAGCAGTGATATTGGGAAAGGCTAGTTTGTCTGAGTGGTATAAACTTCGGTCTATTGATCATCTCCCTAATGGCTGGTCTGCTAGAGCTGGCCAAGGAGTGGTTAGTCCTCTTTAACTTTTGAATTTGAACAAATTTGAAATTTTGAACATTTTTGTATTATTAAAAGTTACTTTACCACTCCTTGATCTAATCCAACAAATTTATCTGGTACTCCATTTGAAGAAAGTTTGTACGTTTCTTGATCTTGATTAGTGACATGCTCGTTTTCTAGGGTCGAACTTAAAACACTAATTTCTTAATAATGATAAAATTTATTACTCTTACAAACTATGTTTTATTCGTACAAACTATTTTTCTAGATTTGTAGTTTTATACTCCGTAATTTATATTATGATGAATTTGATTAAGCATTGATGTATAAAAAACCAATATTTCTATGGTCATACTAGGATATAGTAGATCCATGCTTGATTTCAGTCGTTCATGAAAATGATTTGGACATTTGTGTAAAAAACACTAATTCAAGGTGTAAATTAATGAAAGTCTGCATTAGAAATTAAATATTTGTTGTTAACAGATCAATGAGACCCCTTATTTACGTCTTTAATGGGGTTATGTGCAGTTGTTCAGGAGAGAAACTTGTATTGTACTTGAAGCTTAAGTTACTATGACTACCAATTTAGTGCATTACTTAGCTGACTTTAAAGATTTTGATTTACCAATTTCATCTTATTGATCTTGATCGAACCATGTAGAATCCATATGTAAAATCTGCTGATCCATGTGGCTCAAGCAGTGGTTCAGCTATATCTGTAGCGGCGAATCTGGTGGCTGTATCTCTTGGTACTGATACTCACAGTTCCATCATCTGCCCTTCTGATCATAACTCTGCCGTGGGTCTTAGGCCTACTGTAGGACTTGTAAGCCGGGCTGGTGTAATTCCAATTTCATCCCGCCAAGACACCGTTGGGTATGCATAAATTTATCTAAACTAATCCATGTATTTTGTTATAGCATCAGAGTATACAGGGTATCAATTAAATCTTTGGTGAAAATGCGATCAACTTGCAGGCCTATATGTAGGACTGTTTCTGATTGTGTATATGTTCTAGACGAGATTGCTGGTTTCGACCCTAGGGATGAGGAAGCTACAAAAAGATCATCGAAATTTATACCTCAAGGCGGATATAAGCAATTCCTTAAAGAGGATGGACTTAAAGGAAAACGGTTAGGCATTGTCAGACATCCCTTTGTGAGCTCCCTACATGAATCTACTGTGGCTCAAGCTTTCGAACGCCATCTCAAAACATTAAGGTAAAGCTAAACACCCACATTTGGTGATATTAGTGTCCATGGATGAATTTGAATGTTCAAGCTGATAGAGTTACACGTTAATTATCTTTTGCTACCAAGATAATTATCTCTTCTCCATATTTGTAGGGATGTATTATTATCCTTTTCTTGCTTTATGTTTATCTTGTTGTTGTGTACGTATAGCTACTCTTGTATAAATATAGGCTGTATATTCATCTTTTATAATCAATCAAAGTAAATACAATTCCTTCATGGTATCTTGTAGTGAGTTGAATGATAAAAATGCAGGGAGAAAGGAGCAATATTAGTGGATGACCTTGAGATTTCGAACATTGGTGAGATCCTTAACCCTCATCATAGTGGTGAACTAACAGCAATGCTTGCTGATTTCAAGCACGCGATTCCTGAATACCTCGAGGGACTTGAGTCTTCACCCGTGAGGTCCCTAGCAGACATCATCGCCTTTAATGAGAACAATCCTGAACTGGTATGTAGCTAACCATTTACTTTCCTCTTATAAACCTCGATTCTTCAATTTCCTTAAACAATTACAATGAGCAGATTGGTCTAAAATCATATCTTTTACAGGAAAAGACTAATGAGTATGGGCAAGATGGATTTATCGAGGCAGAAAATATGCATGGAAACGAGGAGGAAATAGAGCAGATAGTCGAGCATCTTGACAAGCTGAACAAGGAAGGATTCGAGAAAATGATGGAAGAGAACAAATTGGACGCGATGGTGACTCCTGGAACAAAGGCTATCCCTGTGATGGCTATTGGAGGGTACCCTGGGATTACAGTTCCAGCTGGTTATGATGAACATGGTATTCCGTTTGGCATGTTGTTCTCGGGGTTGAAAGGAACGGAACCAAAGCTAATCGAGAGTGCTTATGGGTTCGAACAAGCTACTCTGGCTAGGAAGCCTCCCCTGTTTGATTCACCTAAATGGCTTCAAGGGTGAAAATCTGCCCATACTATGATTCTTAATGTGGTCGAATTATGACTTTTGACACAAAAATGATTTTTAATGAATTAATGTGGTTGTTAATTAAGTCTGCTAGCTACCACAAATTGCTTACTAATATGACATCTTCATGGATAATTGGATACTCAACTTCTTGACAACATCAAAGAGAGTAAAAATTTAACAAATTTATTATGTCATAGTGGGCTAATTTAGCTATAGAAATGTACCTTGTCACAAAATCAAATTACACATAGTTTGGCCCAAAATTTCTCATCTTGTTGTCCAATTGATTTCTACGTGCTACTTTAACCTGCCCGAAGTAGCTGCTAGAAATTACTGAGTAGTATGTCATTAACAAATTTACTTTGCTGAAAGGTTGGTGGCCTGGGATCGAAATTGCCTCAATAGCACAGTACAGCTTTTTTTTTGCTAGAAGCTTAGTTTGTCTAGCACCAGATACTAAAGTCTAATGCTCGATTTGACTTAAAAATGGCCGAGAGTCCTAATGTTCATTATACACTTGGTTGTATGTAAAAAATTGTAGTGACTCGACTGTCAAAGCTAGATGCAATGGTCATGACCCCTTTTTCTTTTTTTAGACATAGATTGAAAATCTTGCAAAACCATCTAATTTGCCTCCATTTCCAAATTGACCCCAAAGTATTACAATTAATTAAATAAAACCAATGTTTCACAAATGACATTAGAGTAAGAAACAAAATAATATTACAACTTAAGTTTGTTAAAAAAGAAAAATGTTACAGACATGTATTGAGTATGCCTTGCCCTAGCTAGCCATCTCGTTCGAGCAAATGAAAATGGTGATCACCTACAAAGTATACCTGTGATTTAGCTCTTGGTCTAATGGGCTCTATGGGAGCATTGCCTAAGAGCTTTCTTATGCCATAAAAAAAAAAAAAAAGAAAAAAAAAGGAAAAAAAAAAAAAAAAATGCCCTGCATCTCTTTTCTCTGGGCAACAAGTATATATGAACCCCACCAACCTGTGTGGATAACAAAAATAATCCACCTTTTTCTTTTTTTTGGGTTGTTTTTATGATTAGTAAAATTGAATTTTTAAGTTAGAGATAATCTTATGGGTATTATATCATATGATATACTAGTATGTAGTATAGTAGTAGTAAGTTTGAAGCTTAGCTTCTTTGATCAATCTTCTAGAGGCAGATTTATGGAAGTGCCTTGAGTTGAGCAAAGATCAAATATGTCTTCAAACATAATTGCTCCTTTCATATAATCCTTGAATTTGTCACACCCCAAGTTGCTCATTTCTTGATGATGGTCTATTGGCTTCAATGACATTGTCGTCTCTGATATATTCATTTGTGGGAAATCATCTATCGCCAATGGCGGTAAATTGAAGTAATTATTTGCCATTTGCATATCCTGTTACAAAAATATATTAGATTAGTATAAATCGCTAGAAATAGTGCATTTTAAGTTAACATATCACATCATATATTACAGGTCGAATGACCTTATTAGATAATAATTCTAATATTGTATGGAATAATTAAGTTGACACGTTACTAACTCAGAGCCTCAAATAATACTGACAAGATGAATACTTGAGTAAAAAAATCTAGAAGGGCGGGCCGGGGTATAATGAAGGGGACACAAACAAGCTTATTTGGCTACTGAAAATGATGATAGGAAGTGAGGGAAAAAGTAGAAAAAGATGTTTAGAGTCAGTCAAAAGAAGCCATAGAAGTTGGTGAAGAAAGCTAGCTAGCTAAGCTCACTAGATAGATTATTCTCCAGTCATAACGCAGTCAGTGAGTGAGTGAGTCAGTCCAAGCTAATTTGAAGAGAGATGAACTAGAAGCAAATCTAATAAGCTTTATGAAAAGGAGGTAAATATATCACTTGGGAATTAGCCCTTTCTTACTTTAATTTAAGGATCAAAAGAGATACTCAAAGGTCTTATCTTTGTTGGACCATTTCCAGACTATGAGAAAACTCTTCTATCTACTTTACTTTTCTTTCTTTGTGAACTAATCATTACTAGTTTTCTAACATCACAATCCTTTTTAATTTTTTTTAAAGAAATTTTATAATCTTTCTAAAATTATTTATGAGAGTTCTCTTAAAATTTTAAGCAAATAAACCCAACAATTATTTTTCAATGAAGTATCATCATTTTCTTATTACAGACAAAATGATATTTATTCTAAATAATGTACTCAAAAACCGAACAGTTAGCTAAGTAAAAAAAAAAAAAAGCCTTTCTCTTTATGAATCTAAGCACTGAAGAAGTGTTCCATACAATTACTACTCTGTACCATTTTATTTTATGTAAAGAAAGTTACAAAAGACAAATAATTAAATAGGATTCGATCTCAAGTTTTAGGTCGTGGATACCATCCCAATAATTTCACCAATTAAGCTAGATAGGACCCAAGACACACAAATTTTCGAATGTGTTTGTTCAATAATTTTCCTTAAAAAAATTTAAGTGTTTGAGTAAGTATCTTCTCATAAATTAAATCAACGGTAATGAGCTTGAAAGGCAATAAAATTATTTGATAAGAAAAAACTTTCTTCCTCAAAGAAGAACATTAAAGCAACAAGTATCACATAGGGCCGCAAAACAAAAGAAGATACATGCTTAAAGAGTTAAAGCTTGATCAAAGACTCTTGACTTAGCTTGAAATGTAATTTGACCTCATGATTAACTGATTATTAAAGCTAAACAGTAAAATTCATGATAACTCAAATTTGATACTTTATTATATAATCTTTATAACTTTTGTAATTCAAAAAAATAAAAGAAATTACCTGGTAAAGATTTGATGAGTAATCAAAGGCAAACGGGTAGAAATGTGCGGAACTATTAGCTTCATCTGCGGCAAATAAAGGGGCTTGTACATCTTGGTCCGTACTTAGGGCACTTCCTGTTGGTGTACCTTCTTGATTAGTGAGCTCTGAAGATGCCTCTGAAGGAAACTTATTAAATCCGTCATTGTTATTATGTCTTGACAAGTGATCTTGATTTTGATTTGCTTCCCTAATTCGTCGAGTAATCTCAATGCCTCTTGTATGATCATCCCCTTGTACATCTTCGTCTATGCATTCATTATCTGGGATAAAAACGTCTCCTACTTCTTTGGTCCTTGGATTGTTTTGAATTGTTTTCTTGAAAACACGGCATAATGCATATGATTCCTGTCATTTTAATTGAAAATAATTAGATAGAGCATTAACGTAATATGTAAATATATGATATAATATGTATAGACAAAAGTATTGGGCATCCAATCCAGGATCCAAAATCAATAGTGAAATTATCAATCTGAAATTGACACCAGTCAATAACTAATCTTATGTGAGACGATTGTTTAATTATGAAGACGGCATACATAAGCTTGTAAAATAAGGTTATTATTTAAGTATGTTTAATAATTAATACTCCCTCCATCCCTTATTTATATGCCTATTTTTCTTTATTATGGGAGTAATAAATGTCAAAAATATACATATAAATAAAGGACGGAGGGAGTACTATGATTTACCATCACTAGTCATATGAAATTGATATGATTTTTGAAATCATTGTTAATTATATACATTGTGATTAACGACATCATTTCATAAATTATGATGAAATTATTGAAACTCATCACTTCAAATCACAATTTACGAAACCCGACAATATTATCTACAATATCTAGAAGGGGTGAAATAAAAGGTGATAAACCAAATTATTATATATTGCAAGAATATATGTAATGATGATTTAGTGTTAAAATGTTTTTAATTATAGTCAAGAAATGAATATTTTAAAGGGGTTTGTTTTGAAATGATTCAAATTGATGAAATGTACGTAAGTTTGCTACATGAAAAGAAGGGTTAAGTTAGATAAAGTAAAGAAGAATAATTAATGAATGATAAAAATGAAGGTTGGATCTAGGTTATGACGCGGTAATAGTAGAAAAAGACGATCGAGATGATGATTGCATGATTACTGTCGTCTACGTTTGCTGGATCTCATGCACATAATCATCATTTTCTATAGAATCTTGTCATGCAACGTTCCTTTCTTTTCTTTTTCAATGTTTTATTCCTTTTTTTTTTAATTATATATTATTTTTAAAATCTTTCTAATTTTGCAAAATGCTCCTCGTGCTTTCAAATACTACAAACCCTAGATCACCACATTATTCTTAATACTTCTGTTTTTCACCCATACTTTTTATCTTTTTCAATTTGTAGCTATATATAAATTCATTAATTTCTCGAACTTTGAAAAAAATTATAATTTGTACTCAGTCTAATATAAATGAATTTCATATTTTCTCTCTCTTCCGATCCAGGCCCTAACCCTTTAATTATTTTTCAAACCTTTTTAATAGTTTTGCAAGATTTCATTGTAGGAAAATCATAACGGAATCTTACACGGTGTATTCGAGTATACCTAAAACAAATCTTCTAGTTGTATGTGTTATGTACACGCTATCAACTGGTGCACCGTCGTATAAGTGTTGGGGAAATTTATAGTTTTTATCCTGAGATTTTAGATGAAGTATAATTTTTCTAGATGATATGTTGCATAACTACTTAAAAAATAAAAATGAAACCTCTTCAATATATAGAGCTATCTCTAGTAGCCTAGTACTAATAGTAATAACTAAGAAACAAATGAGAGAGACGGGGAAAAAGAATAATATTAGCTGAAGGTATATGTACGAACCTTAAGGGAGGGAGTAGAGCCAGAAAGAGACTCAAGAAGGCGATATTCGTGCATAACCCAATTAGTCCTAAGCCCGTGGGGAGCTCTCCCTTTGTAATACACCAACGTCTTCTTCATCCCTACTGCCGTCTTCTGCGAGTGCACCGGTCTATCCTTCCCCGTTGCCTTCCAATAGCCTGCCCTCGTTGCTCGGTTTGTCCTTGATCCGTTTGGATACTTCCTGTCCCTTGGGCTGAAGAAGTACCACTCCAAGTCCTTTCCGGGCAAAAATGACTTATCTGCACATTATCATTCACAGTACCATTTTTAGTACACTAGTACTTAATCAAATACTTCATTATATCTAATGAATGGTATACGAAAAATCAAACCTAATTTTTTAAAACTTAATTTATTATGGAGTTTAATTCTTTTTTTTAACTTAATTTATTATGGATTCATATAATTGTACACTTATATGTTAGCTTGGTTAAGCTACGTACACTTAATATTCAAAGACTTAATAAAGAAAACTATGTTTAAGTACATGAATTTTTCAATAATATTGATACATATAGACTAATCTATTGTATTATCTTTGTCTAGATTTAGTTGTCACGTTATTAGTAATTCAAATTACAATATCAATATTGAATAAAGATCGAGAGTATATATGAAAAGGGTTTATTATTAGAGTAGAAAATTATATTACCAGGTAAATCCCAAGGCTCGCACTTGTAAAGATCGATTTCAGGAATAATCTCTAGGTCAATCTTACGACCAGTGATCTTCCTATCAAGATAATAAGCAACCAACTCTTCATCAGTAGGGTGAAATCGAAAACCCGGTGGTAGACTCACTGGCGCCATAGGAGAAGCGAGAGTGTATGAATTCGAAAGAGAGGATATTAAAAGAGCTGAGGTTGATGAAGAAGAAAAAAAGTAGTGACTAAGAAGCTAAGCTAATAGTATGTGATAAATCCGTTTTAGGGAAAGGAAAGTGGGGGGCCAAAGTAGAAGAGAATGAAGAAGAGAGAACAAAGAGAAGACAAGCTTGTACCTTATTGGAACTGAAATATATAGAACCTACTGTTGGGATCGTAAACTAAAGTTGATGTGCTATATTTTTGAGATTATAAATTACATACTTTGTTACTATAGTTTATATTTATAACGTTTTTTATATTTGCTTTTGCGGCCTTTGCCCTTTGCTTTATTTTTATTTATTTTTTTCCCTTTTCCCATCTAATGTAAATACCAAAATGTTTGGGTTCCAAAGTGAAAAGAATGCTATGACAACCACTTGATATGAATTAAGAAAGATGAGAGAGAGTGTGAGAAAGAGAGAGGTGTACAAGCCAAGACAAAACTCTAAGTGAGATATAATCTAAAAGGGGTGTGATCAATAAAGATAGTATGGATAAAACATGATCAATCCAACAAGATTGTAGGCTCCAATTTTGGTGTACTTTTTATATCATATGGCCCCCTTCTCTTAGTGAAAATATCAGAAGTAGATGCTTTAGTTTCTTAATTAGGATATACAATTGCATTACATAGTATTTGTGACATCGGTTATTGTAAAATGAAAATTATTATTACATACGTACGTAGTAAACGATCCATTAAAAGTAATTATTAATGTTATTCTTACTCCTTATTTAAGAAAGGAGAAGACCCAACTATACTCTTGTCACAAAAAAAAAAAGACCCAACTATACTGAGTCATTATCCCTCACTAGTTAATTTGGTTCGAGTAAATGGGCTAGAAGAGTGAGGAATTTAAACCCGGGTAAAGATACTAAGTACGTCCAAATTTTCTATTCGATCTCCATCCACCTGTATATTGACAAGCTAATTAGAGAGTGTCCAGCTGACTACTAATACAAAAGCTTGGATATATAATAAGCTAGACTCAAAACTAGGCTAGCATCTAACATGCTATGTAATGAGAGGGAATGGAGACTCGGCTCAATCAGTTAATGAATGAACTTCATCATTAATTGCACAACAAACACAGCACATAGAATGTCTATGAAATACAACAATGGATTGGAGAGGTTAATTATATATTAGTCCTTAGGATTCTTTGACAATTACCACCAATAATTATTGGTGTTTTAGTAATTGCCACCTACAATTTTTTTTTATTTTTTTTTTATTATTTTATTTTTATTTTATTTTGTTGGTATTTTACCACCTACTATTTTAAAAAAAAAATGAAAATTTCCCACCTGATTGCCTACATGATGTCATTGTGGGCCCCACCGACGGATTTTTTTCAATTTTATTCCTTTTTCTAACCTTCTTCTTCGATTTTTGAATTGCAAATCCAAATTATGCAAACAAACCACTAAATTAGGTACCTAATTTATAAAATTGGGGCTAACTATAAGATGATGTTCATCATTTAGGGTTTTGAAATGAAATTAGGAGTTTGTTATTTAGTGATTAATTTATGAATTGGGACTAGTTTGCATCGATTTAACGTATTATGTCTCCAATTAGTACCGAAATTGATATTATTGTTAAGAAATTATTACTAATTATTGATATGAAAAATAGGGTTCATATGTATTTTAGGGATATTTTAAAATCAAATTTTTTTCTAAATTATGATTTACAATCCTAAATTGAGCATATATATTAGTTCTATACAGAGTTAATCAATGTAAATAATGCTTAATTTGAAAAACTATCTCAATTTGAAAAATTTCCCAAATTTGGGATAAATCCTAAATGAAGAACAACAAATTATAAGTGACACATATTAGTGACTTAATTATGTTCGTGTGAGCTTGAATTATGTTAAATCAACTACTAAATGCTTTTTCCTAATCTAATTTTAATTTATATTGAAAAAAAAAATCATTGAACATGAGAATCGAGGAAGCGGAAGGCATGATGACGTCATGTATGAGGGCTTGGGAAATCTGGTGGGAAATTTTCATGTTTTTAAAAATAGTAGGTGGTAAATTAAAAAAAATAAATAAATAAATTATAGGTGGTAATTACTAAAACGACAACAATAGTAGATGGTCATTTCTAAAAATCCTAGCCTTTATATTATAATTATTTCGCAGAAACTACTACTTCACAACAAGTATAGACTTTTTTTTTATGGCACGTTACGTGTAGCTTATACATATACATGAATTTAGATGGATAAGGTGCATGCATTGTATACTATCACACGTAGTTGCATTGCACGTATCATACATATAATTAAATTAGGAATTATAACTCGTTATAGTGAGCTAAGTGTGATATCTGACCTTGTATTTATTAGGTTCAATTATGATCTCAACATGCAAAACCCTAGCTAGCTCAAACACAATGGGTACAACCTTTACAAATAAATCCAATTCAATTTGACAAGGTTGCAATTTTTGCCTACGAATCCAATTTGCATTATCTCGTAAAATTTTGTCATTACTAATTTATCTAAATTCTTTACCAAGCTATTGTCTAAGGTCAATCTGTTCATTATGTTACTTTCATTGTTTTTGGATTATCAACTACTCGTAGTATGAAAAACATTCTAATATGGACTAACGCGTACTTTTTGCCACATATATATATAGTCCATATCAACAATTCAACATATATTTGCACTTTGGGAAAGTACAAGTCGTGCTTTTGTCAAGTACTATACTCTATAGATATATGATGTGGGGCAATTCAATTCTTGTATTAGGTAACTTATAATTATACTTTGGAATAATAAAGCAATCAACGACTATTACGTGTAAATTCAAAATGATTAGTGTTTCGGATGAAAACAATCGAATCTCGGAAGATCCTTTTATCTTGAGGGAACTTGGTCTCGGTCCGAACGACGCAGGAGCCGAGGGTTTCCTGCACAACAAATACACGTAAACTAGCCTCGGGGGGGACGCCGAGGAAGGCCCCTCCGATGCTTAAGTCAGTATATTAGAGAGAGAAAGCTGTGCAAGAGTTTAGTTGCTTGAGGCTTTATTGTCTTACCAAGGATTGACCAAATTGTTGGCTTTTATACCTTGGCTAATGAAGGAGGCGGATTGGGCCCGGAAGTCAGTTGGGCTGGGCCAAGCTGATTGGGCCGTTGACTGACCTTGACATGGCTTTGAGGATGTTGATTTTTGACTTTAGCATATTTGGAGAGTTGAACCTTAACCTTGGGCTTTTAATTGGATCATTCAGTGACCAGGCCCAATTGGACTAAATTGGACCCAAACAACTTGCCCCCCAGACCCGATTTGGAAGGATGACGGGTCGGGTTTGATTTAATCAGAAAAGGAGGGAAGTGAATGATTTGTTGATCCAAAAATGTGAATTTAAACCGTAATTAACCCATGATTAATGAGATAACAACAGTTAATGTGGATAATTGCGGAAGTTGGACGGGTAGTGGGCGATTTAACTGCAAGGTCGTGTGTTTAACGGCTACTTAGTGGGGTGCTTGAGAGAAATTGAAACGCAGACTCCTTGAATTCCCATTTCTGGAGATATAAATAGAGGCGCGTCTTCTCTCCCCACTCACTCATCAACACAAACCCAGAATTCTCAAGAACGCTCAAGAGCCCGCATCAAAACTTCGCAAATTCCCCGAGCATTAAGCTTAGAAGCTGAGACCTGTCACTACCAATTCGTAAATCGGCGGCTTTTGCTTCAGATCAAGGTAAATTCCTTTGATTTTATTTCATTTTTCCTCGACTTTGCACTCTTTCCCCTTTTTCGACTTTTTCCTTCGAAATTCGTCGATGGTGAGGGGAGTTAGAGGTGGAGCCCGTGCTCCAAGAAGAGCAAGGCTAATCCCCGATCCCAGGGACAGGATTGGGACCTGGAATGGACGAAGGACAGAGTCTGACCCTGCTGAAGGGGTTAGGGCGACTCCCATTTCTTCGGCTCCTCCTCAGAGGGCTGAGGGGGTGAGAGCTTCAGGACGGGATGATGAAGTTCCCGCTGTCCTTTGGGATATCCTCCCAGGGTTTTCAGAGTGGGAGGATGCCGAAGTAGCTTCGGCCATGATAAAGAACCGTCCCTACTCATGGTGGGTAGAGAACGCCGATCAATATCGATTTGCTGAGCAAATTGAGTTGCACTACGGCATTTTTGAAGCTGATGGATATTGGTGCCGAATGCCCTCAGCATCCGATAGAATCCATCGTCCACCCCCGGGGTATGTGGGGGTGTACACGAGACAGCTTCAGTATGGGCTGAGGTTCCCTTTGGACGTATTCGTCCGAGACTTGCTGATCCATTACAACATTTCCCTGTGCCAGCTGACCCCCACCAGCATCCGAAGGGTAATGACGTACTTATGGGTCTGCAAATTCTTCAGATACGTGCCGAACCTGCACTGCTTCAGAAAGCTCCATCGGCTAGTGCCAAATATTCAGAGTGGGCACGGAAGCCATGGTTCTGGGTGGTATCGGATTGAGTCTCGGCCCCCGTTCCTAACCATGTGGCCGAACGACTCTTCAGACAAGGACTGGAGAGGTCAATGGATTTGGGTTAGGGCGCCCACGGAGCCGAGCCATCCTTATGTTTTCAGCGCTCCCCGGTATCTTGCCGAGCCGGATCCTGATATGGGAAGTTTAGGTCCTCCCGAAGATAGCGGGCCAGACCCGAACCTTAATCAGCAGAACATCTTCGGCAAGCTGCCGAACCGGGGAGGCAGCGGCCGAATGCAGCATATCCCGGAGACTTGGCTCCCCGATACGCACTATGTTTTCCAAGAGAATATGCTGGCAGCTGTCGGCCTCAGCCGAAAGTTTAGGGATGGTAATCTTCTTCGGCTGGGGCCGAGGCCTTTTAATTATCTCTTTTCTTCTTTCATTTTGCTTTCTTGTGATGTGCCGAACTAACTGAATTGACTTCTCCCCTTTTCTTTTTCAGAACGGGACGAGACCAACGTCGGCATTGATTACGCTCGCCTTGGCGTCAGCCGAGAACGAGTCGTAACTGATCGGGCTCCCCCTATCACTGAACCAAGGCGCCGAGAGGTTCACCTAGACTCTTCCCACTTCCAAATTGAGGCTGTTGCTCTGTATCAGAGGCAGAAGCCTTGGTGGAAGAAGAGGGATCCCTTGTTTCAGCTGCTGGAAGAAGAAGCTGAAGCTGCCCGCACAGCCGAAGAGGTTGCACGGGTACTTGAGGCTTGTGAAGGAGGAGAAGGGTCCTCCAGAGCTGCTGAAGCCGAAGCTGCAGCTAGAGCAGCTGAAGAAGACGAGGCTTTGCTGAAGACCTCGGTGAGTTTTTAGACAACTTTTTTCTTTTCTTTTTTTTTTTTTTTTTTTTTACTCACACTCTTCTTCCCCCCTGTCTGTTACAGTCTGAAGAGAGTAACAGACACAGAGAAGGCAAAGCTCCTGTTCGTCCCGAAGATCAAATACAAGAGTCTTCAGATTCAGATATGGACGAGCAGCCCCTTCTGAAAAGGCGCCGAAGGATGGCCATCATCGGCCCTCATGATTTTCAGCAGAGGCCGATGACCATCGGCGTCGCAATAAGGGAACCTGAGGAAGGCAATGGATCGCCGAGGGTTCCCCAGCCAACACCCCAATCTCCTCAAAAGACCCCTCCGCCACCTCCTGAGATGGAGGTGGATCAGAGAACTCCCGGACCTAAGGGAGGGGTCCAAGAAGAAATCAAGGAGAGTGCTGCTGAGCACGAAAATAAAGATGCCGTGATGTCAAGTGCTGAAGGCTTCACGGCAGATATCGCAAGAGAGGTTGAGGCTTTCGTCCTCACCCCTGAAGAAGAGGAGGTCATAGTACTTGACTCCTCTGAGAAGGACGATGCTGAGACAACCAAAGCTAATCAAGCTCCATCGTCGTCCTTCCCTTCTTTCCAGACTCTGCATTCTGGAGAAATGGGTTTCTCGGCCCCCCGAATTCCAATCCCAGATC